ACTTCTGATAACAAGATCCTAAACAAGGCAAAAAGAAAGATAGCTTTCTCAACAACTTTCATTTCGATCTATATCGCAGGATCCAATCCAATTGAGACAATTAACCTCAAGACAAAGTAAGATTAACAACAGACCAATAACGGGGAGACTTACGAGATCTTTGAAGAGGATGAAAGCTACGACGAAGAAGAGAATGAAAAGGATCTCAAACTCCGCCATCTTCAAGAATCTCAACACCGCTTTTAGAAACCCTACCACCGCCGAGTCGTTCCCATTCCTGCTCCGACCGCCAGTCCGAGCCATAGCCACCGACGACGACTGCCCCGTTTGACGAAATCTCTTGCTTTCTCTTCAACGATCAAAGACGATTCGAGGCAAATTCAGCAGATTTTTTTTCCTCTCTCCAGATATGAACTCGATTAAAATTTCCTCTTCATAGGGACAATTGAACGTGTAAAAGACTGGTCGATTTGAACGCTCTCTGCTAAACAATTTCATAAAATTTTGCTTTTAGAATTTTTATGTTTCTTGTTTATAAATTTCACAATTATTTTTATTGTTTAGAAATATTTTAAAATTATATAGAATTTGAAAAAAAAATGAGGATTTTTTTATTTCTTTGATTTTATCATTCTTAAATTCACCGGGCATTAATTATGTAATTTTAATTTTTTATTTAAAAGAAAATGAAAATATCACCAATGAAGCCTTAATAATTTAAGGGATAATGGAAGAAAATTTGACATATTATAACAAATGGTTACACTTTAAAAAATTATATGGATGCCGAGTGATATATTTTGTTGTTTTTTCTTTTAATTTTTATTGTGACTATTTGACCTTTTTTATCAATAAATTAGATTAAATACTATTTATTCAAATGATATTAATTAGGTGAATCATTAACCATTTCAACATTCAATTTCTAAATTTTTATATATTTTAATCTAACTTATTTGACAAGTTATTTATTTATTTTTGACAGAATTTTTTCTTGTAATTATAAATTGTTATCAATTGAAGAAGTGTTAAATGGATGGTTAGTAAAGCGTATCTATTTTAATGTATCTTTTATTTATTTATTTATATATATATATATATATATATATATATTCAACGAGTTATTGTTTGTATTAGATACATCATTGTAAGTTTTTATTTGTAGGTTCTTAGTTCGGTTGAATAAAAGTTCACCTCGATTTAGACGTTGATTCACGCTTTCAACATCTCGTTTAGCATCAACAAGCATAATTAAATATATATAATCATATTAATGCTGTTTTTTTAGTACAACATGTAAGGGTGGTGATTCAAACTCACAACCTTTTGATTGGATGTATATGTCAAATACCGTTGAGTTATGCTCGTTTTGGCCAGATTAATACTATCATTGAAAACTTGTAACTAATTTATTAAATATGCTTACTTTTAATGACTTAACAAGTATACTTAATTAATTAAAATATATCAAATCATTTATTACTTTTTTCTTTGTTTTACAAAAATTACTTTTTTTCCTTAGTTGAACAAATCTGGAACCTTCCCGAAGATGATAATTTTTTATTTACTGAACTGTGTTTGGAAAAACTATTATATTACTTATTAATTAAACTTAAATTAACTAGTTAATTTTTAGTAATTAATGACAATTAAATAGAAATTTAAAATTAATTAATTTATATTAAATCCGTCATTTAAATTAATTGGCTTAATTAACATACAATAAAATTATTTAAAAGTTAGTTAATTGATTTTAATTAGGCCATATTATCTAAAGTTAATTAATTAGTTAGATATGATTACTGTAAATTAATTAACAATGAGTTATTGTTGATTCTTTTTTTTTGCGGCGAGTTATTGTTGAAGTTAATTTATATTGAATTAGATCATCTTAGTTAAAATTGATACATTAATTGAACATATTAATTAGAATTAGCTGATGTGACCTTTTGGTCAGAGATAAATACCTTAACCACTTGAGCTATGTTGGGTTTGACAAATTAAATTATTAGTTAGGTCTACATACAAAAGTTAATTAATTTAAGTTATATATATATATCTTTTTGAAGAAAGTCAGATCCTTCTTAGTCTATATAATTTAAAAAATTTTCATTATATTAGTCGTTGTTTGACTAAATATTCTAAAGCATTTATGCTATCCAGATTTAATTGTATTTTTATGTGATACATTTTCTTTAAATGTGTGTTTATGCTTAAAAAAAGAGGGAGGGAGTATGAGGTATGACCAATGAGAGAGTTTGATTGTTCTAACGAAGGTATGACCTGGTCATGATAGACTGCTTAGTATGAGGTGAAGTGTTCAAATGAGTTGAAATACCACTTAGTTAGGAAAAATCTGTACAAGGGAACAAACACTTAGACGCTCAAGTAAATTTTAAGTTCGACCTTATTATGGAATATCATACCTGATTGAAGAGTTAAGTGCCTTATTTATAAGTTTGGATATCCAACAAGAAATCCGACCAACGGTTGAGCATGTCGGGATAAAGGTCGACCTGTCGAGAATAGCTATTCCAATTCATATATTTGTTATCTGGAATTTGGTTAAGTATGAAAGGTCATTCGTTCCTCCTTTGAATGATCTTCAGGGAAGACGACCACTAGGGAAGACCTTCAGGTCGGTCTTCAAGTTGGTTTTCAGGCAAGACATTGATAAGGTCAGTGCTCAGGTAAGACCTTGATAAAATGGAAGATTTTTCGATCGAACACCAGAGAGGACCTTTAGGTCGGCCATCAAGGAAAACTTTCAGGTCGGCACCAAGGAAGACTTGTATGTTCGACCTCTCCCTGCCCTCGTACGATTTTCACACCCAAACAATGTGGAAAGGAGACAACGAATTAACATTTGAACCACACCATTATTATGTGACATATTTTCTTCAAATGTGATAAAATGATGATCCATTGAAATTTTATGTTCCCTATTTTGATGTGATACCCACGAAAAGTTAAGAAGGTCAAAAAGGAAAAAAAGAAAATTGAGTAGGTTTTTAGGCTAAAAAAGGTAATGAGATGAGTTGTGCAAAACAGGTAAGTTGTCTTTAAAAGCTCAAATCTCCAAATCTATCCAATTTTTGCATAACACAAGTTTCCTACTTAATTTGTAAACTCCCTAATTTTCTTTATTTTTAACACAAAACCATAATTCAGTCCCAACCCAATCTTACCTTTCATATCAATCAAAATCAAATAAATCAAAGCTATAATAATTTTAGTTCAGGGATTAAAATTGGATAAAAAATATAATATTTTTATTTTTATTTTCTATTTAAAAAGATCAAGCTTATAAAAAAAATTATATTTACCAACATCTTCCTCCAATCTTAATTTGACTAAAAAACACATATGGTCACTGTAACGATTTAGTTCTTAAATTTTAATTGGTAATGATTTAGACCCTATAGTTTAAAATTTTTAACAATTTAGTCTCTATCGTAAAAAATTTAATTAAAATTAAGTGTCAAATTTTATCATATAACAAATTAATCTTTCTAACTAATAAACATATTTGGTCCCTCTTTAGTTTATCCATCTATATATACGATAAGAATTAAATCATGACAAACCTTAAATTACAACGACTAGATCGTTACATATTAATGTCCAATAACTAAATTGTTACTAATTTGAAAGTTCGTTACAAACTAAAATTCAGGAACTAAATTGTTATTTTAACCAAAATAAAGAATCTAAAGTATTTTTTAACTTTTAATTTTTAAAATTTGACCAGAATTTCAAAATCATTTAAAAAATATATATATACTCTAGAAAGAAAAGAAAAAGATACATTTCGTTACTGAAAAAACCAAAAACCAAAATATTCATTGAAATTTCAAGAGCCGCTGAAGTTTAAAGAAACTTGAATAACACTTTCTTATATTGGGGAGCATAATCTTGATGTGCACCACTATTTTATTTTTTAGGTATTTTTTATTTAATTTTCTTTAAAAAATAAGGTTAAATATATATATTAGTATGTTTTTTTAATTGGAATTCCAATGTTTAAAAATTTTCAATCTAAAAATCCTACAATTGAGTCGCTTAATGAATTGACAGAAATTTATTAGAGAAAATATGTTATTAAATTTAAAATTTCTCAAATTTCTTTAAAATGAGGAAGAATTAGAAAATTTTCTCTGATTCTTTTTCTTCTTCTAAGGACTCGTATGGTAATGTTCATGTTTCTTATTTCTGTTTTTTTATTTTTAATAAAGAAAAATGTATTGTATGATTTCAATATCTCAAGTATGATAAAACAATCTTTTTGTTTATGTTTTGGAACAAATTGAAAATGAGAACAAACTACTTTTGGTTATTTCCAAAATTTGTATACAATTGTAATTGTGAGAATGTTACCAGAAAAGAGAAACGCCCTAAATTTCCGTCCATTCTTCCGATTCCCTCTTCGTTCTTTCCTTTATATAAAAAACTTTTCTGTCCAACTTTTCAAATGAACAAAAAAGTAATGTCTAAATCAAACTATTTTCTTTAAGAAAAAAAAATAAAAGTGACCTTGAATCTTATCTTCATCATCTTCTTCAAGTTTGTGAATCAAATTCAGTGAATTGTGAGACATTTTATTTTTCTGTAAATTATCCAGTAATCTCCCATTTCCTTTCCCACACTGAGGCTTAGAGAAATAACAGTATCAGTTACCATTTCCATGGAGGATTTGAAGCCAAGGCCTGCAAATTCCTCTCCTCTCACGCCACTTGGCTTCCTCGACAGAGCCGCCACCATCTACGGCGACTGCCCTTCAGTCATCTACGGCTCCACTACCTACACGTGGTCTCACACCCACCGTCGATGTCTTCGACTCGCTTCTTCCCTCTCATCCAACGGCATCCACAGGGGCCACGTCGTCTCCGTCGTCGCTCCCAACACCCCCGCCATGTACGAGCTCCAGTTCGCTGTTCCGATGGCCGGCGCCATCCTCAACAACATCAATCTCCGCCTTGACGCCCATACCATCTCCATGCTCCTCCGCCACAGTGAATCCAAGCTCATCTTCGTCGATCAGGCTTCTTGCTCCCTTATTAACGACGCCTTGAATTTGTTTCCAACAAAATCCAAACGGCCGGTGCTCGTCCTTATTGCGGACGATGTTGCGACAGAGGAGTCTTCTTCACCGATTTTCGGTGATTTCGTTGACACGTATGAGGGAATGGTGGAGAAAGGGGATCCAGAGTTCCGGTGGATTCGACCGCTGAGCGAGTGGGATCCAATTGTTTTGAATTACACCTCTGGAACAACGTCGTCGCCGAAGGGAGTGGTCCATTGCCACAGAGGAATTTTCATGGTGACTCTGGATTCGCTTCTCGAATGGGGCATCCCTAAGCAATCGGTTTATTTATGGACCTTGCCGATGTTCC